GAGTCCTGCTCTGGAGTGATTAGTCCTGTGAGATGGAGAAATGGTAGGTCGGCTTAGCCTCTCCTGGGCTTCTCTGTCCTGCAGAGACAGGGCTCGCTAGGCGTCCCCCCCTTAGAGGTGCTGTGGGGTGTAAATGACGCACGAGGGCAGCCCCAGCACAGCTGCTCGTTCCTCGTAAGTGCAGGATGGCATAGCTTTTGCGGTGACGGCTTTATGACGGCCTCGTGTAGACTCTCAGTGCTCCAAAGGGATGACTTGTAATTTGGAGGTGGGATTCTCACTTCTGTAAACACCCAAAGATTGTGTTATTGGGCCTTGCTTATTTGAATCTATTCTTTAGAAAGTACATATTGTAGATATATTTTTCAAGCATGCATGATTTTTTCTTTTAATATTTATAGTTCTACCCTCTCATGTCTTGATGTGATGTTTCATGGAATGTAGGAAACAATCCTAAGCCACCTGCCTCTTCACACTTTTCTGTGGTGGTTTTCCTCCCTGACTGGAAGAGGGTTTTGCATAGGAAATTTACTTTGTTCCCCTTTTCTTGGAGTCTCTCTGTCTATCTGCCCATCTCTCACCTGTACATCTGTCCATTTCTCTACCCATTCATTCTTCTGACTTGTTCCAAGAAGCATTTCAGGCAGCTTACAGAAGAAAAGATACCAAATAAGCAGGTGAGAAAATGTAGCCAAGTTCAGACAGTGAGGCTAGGAGGCGAGCCTGTGTGAGGGTTGCAGGCGTGAGACACACGCATTTGCCCTGTGACTTATAAGATCAACAGCAAGTGTGTGCCTGAGGCTCCCAGCAGACACAGGGAAACAGGGTTTGTGGGAGATGCTCACTGGCTGTGAAATAAATAAGTGGCTGAGGAGAAACCCAGCCTTTCCAGCTACTAAGGCTTAGGAGGATATTTTGAGTGTCTTCCAAAATCTGAGTATTGCATCGTTTCTTTTGTCACAGTTCTACGTGTAGTTGGTTACATTCTATACCTGGAAATTTCTCCAAAACTGCTTCCCACGTGAGTCCCATGGCTCGGGAATGGGGTGGTTCTGCTCATTGACGGGGGTTGGCCAGAAACAGAAAATGACAGCCTCAGAGGAGACTGGAACTTTTCAGTCATGTTTTGTCAGTGCTGTTGACTTCAGAAAATGCTTTCACTGTTTCTCTCCATCTGAGGTGGCAGCGTGCTCTATTACCAGCATCAGGAGCTCAGGGCCACGGGATGGTGGGGGTGACTGCACTGCCGTCAAGACAGCTGAACTGGTCACTGCAGGCATGATGCTTTCACGTAGTGCATTTCATGTTCTTTAATAGAAGTTTTCAACGGGAAGTTAATTAACTGAGTTAATTAACATTTAATAAATATGATGCTTTGTTGAAAAGACAATTATAGGCACATTTTAAGCTGTGAAGGATATAAAAACGATTTCATTATTGAAATTTCAGTAGGGAAGATACACAGTTTATCGTATTTGTATCTCTCTTTTAAAGTAAAAAGGAAACAAGACAGAAAAGGCAAAAGATGCTTTCTGTTCTTCCTCTCGGCTTGCAGGTGCCCTCACCTCCAATGGCATCCATCCAGACACCAGCACTAACACTGGCCGTGCTCAGAACTGCCTCAGTCCTGAAGACACAACTGACAAATAGAAGGGAGCCACGCCCTGTTACAGCAGGTGCTCTCACTTTGTGGGTCCTTATGTGACTGCGTGGCATTAATCAGGATCGCCCATTCTACATTGTGTGGCGCTGCTGCCATGTCTCCTAGTTACTTGTTTCTGTAAGTACACGTGTATTATTCTCCAATGTCCTATACTACACATCTAAAAATGTTTTTTTCAGATGAAAAATAATGTGTATTTAATATAATAAGTCTGAAAAAAGGGGCAAAAGATGCTATCCTGGTCCCACCACCCAGAGATAATAATTAACAGTTTAGTATCTATTTTCTGTTCTTTTCATCAGTGTGTATCACCTCTGTCAAAAAAACCAGCGAGCACTGTGTGCCTGTTTACTGTGTGGAGACCTCCATTTTCCATTCGGCTTATTACATGTTTTTCTACAATATTCTATCTCCTGTAGCATGATTTTTAATGACCAGTATAGCATTCTGTCTTGTGGAGGCATCGTCAATTTTACTTTGAACTTAAATAAACTTTTAAATTCAAGTATACTTAACTGAAATACTGAAGAGAGAACTGTGGTGGTACAGGAAGGTCCCTACCTCCCTTCCCCTTATTTCCTGAGAATAAAAGCTGTTTACAATGTGGTGTATATATTTCATGACTTTTTGCCACACACACACACACAAATACACCCACGTACATGAGAAATCTATGTATATGTGTGTGTATATATGCTTTATTGAAAAGTGAGACCATACTGTATTTTTTCTGCAGCTCGCTTTATTCACTCAGGGGTGTATCATAGACGTCCTCCCACTACAGACTCACCCGGTCCTTTCAGATAGAGTGGAGGGGTCTTCTGATGTGCAGGTTTGGTCTCTTGTGCAAGGACAACTTTGGTGGGAGAGTGCTGTGGACAAGGCCCAGGACCACACCAAAACGCTGGCATCCTCAGGGCCCGCAGCTCGCCGTGAATTACCGCACCATTTTCTTGATGGTGGACAGGTAGGTTTTCTCCATTTTCCACTGTCAGAAAGAATGTTTGACTGGCATCCTTCTTGTACAGACATTCCTGTGATCTTGTATGAG